CAAGTCCACAAAACACATGTGGACTGGTTGGGCAAACTCCCATCTCCCCTCAAGAACCCGAGCGAGGGTGAAAAGCTGATCCGTCGTTCCACGACCGGGACGAAACCCGCATTGTTCCTCCTCGATCCAAGGTTCAACTATCGATCGGATCCTCTTTTCCAGCACCCTGGCGTAAGCTTTCATGGGTAGGATGAGGAGTGTGATCCCCTGTAGTTGGAACACACCCTCTGGTCCCCCTTCTTAAAGATAAGGACCACCACGCCGGTCTGCCACTCCAAAGGCACCACCCCTGATTTCAATGCAGTGTTGTAGAGGCGTGTCAGCTAGGACAGCCCCACCACATCCAGAGCCTTCAGATACCCTGGGTAGATCTCATCCGCGCCTGGAGCTCCGCCACCACAGAGTTGTTTTACTACTTTGGCGACTTCTAGCCCCAGTGATTGGACGGTCCACCTCCAGGTCCCCTGACTCTGTTTCCCCTTGGGAATGCATGACAGTAGGATTGAGGAGCTCCTCAAAGTATTCCTTCCACCACCGGACATGTTACCCTGAGCATAAATGACACAGTGTTTACAAAGCTGTTTTTTTTTTTTTGTTCTTGTAAACAAATGTGATTTCTTTATCAGTCCAATAACAGACACTTTCCTTTATCAAAGTAGGACCTGTTTTAATTCAGCCTCTGTTTTCTTGAAGAGATGAACGATCCTTCGCTGAGAGTCATGTTGTGTACAGCTGATGACATTTCCTCTCTGTTCAGCTGTTTTTTCTTCCATTTCCATCACCTCTGCAGAAACTAATGTCTGTTTTGCTGCCAAAGTCTTTCCCTTTAACCATTAACTGGAAGCTTGATACGTTGACTGAACCAGAGGCTGAAAGCTGGTGGCGCTGTAGATTTGGTGATACTTCTCTCTGATCTGGTAGTTTCTCCATTTTCAGGAGCTTCTAGACGTTGGCTGCAGGAGTTAAACAGTTCAGTAACAGAGACTGTACAGGTTTGGAGATTTGATCAGTGTCAGATTTCTCTTAAGATGAACTGGAGCATTAAAATGTATGTCACACTACAGGGATCTGAGCATGGTTTGTCAGCTGATAGTCATATGTTTTGGCTGGCCTCCCACTGGGCTGTTAGGGGACCCTTTAGAAACCATTATAAGGGGATGGGGCCTGATTTGAGGCTTGGAATTGGTTATGTGTCTACTTAATCCGCAGGTGTGTGGTGTCAGTAGGACTTTTCTACTGCTGCTGGACAAGTGTGAGCCTCCTGACCTGGACAATAAACATCACTCATGCTTAAGATTTACAGGTCACAACGCCTCTCAGTGGTTAGTACTGACCACAGCCATTATTAACCATGTTTGTCTTCCAAATTCACATTTGATCATGTGGATTTCTGTGAGATCTGGAGTCTATGGAATAACCCATTGGGGTTACAACACAAGTTAACATGTAAAAGACATCCAATATGTGACCATCCTGAACTAACTGAGGCTGGTACTTAAGAACCTAGTTACTGACACATTTTGTAGGTTAAGAGCAGGTTACCTAACAAATGCTACTAGTGAAGAACTGGTTAACTGACAAATACTGATGGTTAATGACTGGTTATTTGAAAGATGCTGCTGGTTAAGGACTATTTACCTTATTAATGCTGCTGGTTAAGGACTATTTACATTACTAGTGTTGCTGGTTAATGAAAGGTAAACAGGCCAATATTGCTAGTTAAGGACTAGCTAACAGGCTGATGCTGTAAGTAAAGGAGTTGCTAATAGGATGATACTGCTGGTTCAGGACAGGTTCATGGATGGCAGCTGCTGGTTAAGAACTGATTGTAAAAGGCTGATGCTGGTAAGGGTTAGTTGACTGATTGATACTGCTGTTAAGGGACTAGTTAACAGACTAACAATACTGGCTTGAAGTTGGAAGTCAGTTTTTGGATAAATGGACTGATATGGCTAGTTAGAGACTAGTTCACAGGTTTATCCTGCTGGTTAGCCACGAGTCAAAAGGCTGATGCTGTTTTAGATGGACTAGATTACAGGCTGATGCTGATAGTCAGGGACCACTTAATGTTCTGATCAGGCTGTTTAGAGACTAGAGGAACAGGTTAGTACTGCTGGTTGAAAGGAAGTAAACAGGCTGATGTGGCTTGTTAGGGAATAGTCAAAAGGCTCCTCAGGCTGGTCAGAGACTAGTTGGCAGATTGATACAGCTGGTTGGTGAGTCAGATACTCAGGCGTGCAGGACTTAGGCTGTGTCCGAAATGGCATACTGCCTACTATCTACTTACCTACTCAAGCAGTACCTACTGCCTACCGCCTACTCAAAGATGATTTGAGTATGCCGCGGCTGCCCGAGCGTTTACATACAGATGCATACTAAATACCCCAGAATGCATTTCGTGCCGGCCGGACGCAGCGCCGGGAAAATTTAAATAGTCCTACCACAAGCTACACAGAACGACTGCATTCCGGACAAATTATATAAATTCATTCAATAATAATATTTTTTCTAGCAATAAAGTAAGTGTTTACATCACGATTATGAGCCCAGTTTTTTAAAATAGTGTCTGTTTGTAAATTTGTCTCGGCGTTTTCGGAGACCGAAGCGTCCACTTGGTCGGTGTTTGCGTCTATTTACCGTAAACACCGGGCAGCAGCAGCTCCCCCTTCACGTTTCCAAATTATTGCGAAGTGTTTTCAGAATCATTATCTACACGACACAAACCGGGCGGCAGTGGATGACAAAAATCACACAAACATCTGTGTATCCATGGTGATAATGCTATACAGCACCTGCTAGGCATGTGATGAGCAGCAGAGGGCTGCAAAATGACCAACACACAACATAATTATTATGACCTCGTTCGGTTATTCCTTGGCAAATACATCATTTCCCGACTACATTCTTTTCATGTACAATGATAATTTCAGAAACCATCAGATTTTCAACCACAAGTAAGAATTAGTAAAGCTCACATACATTGTCAACTGGAAACTCCCCCGTTTGTATATTTTGAACCATGTGCTCTCTACCAATAATAATTTTTATTAATCAGAGGTCTGTGCTTAATATGAGTGACCATTTTGATGATGCATTCAGAGATGAGAAGATGCTCAGACTTATTGTAATAAATACATCTTTAATAGACACTTAAATAAATAAAGTCAATTCATACGAATAGTTAAAAACATTACCTATAATCCTAATTTAAAATACAAATAAATCTGGTAAAAAGATCAAAATATGATCATGTGTAATGTATACTGACTAAATATTATTTATCTATTTATATATATATATAATTATTATTGCAATCACACGCCATCTATTTCTTTTCAGCCTCGGGAAAGAGGGCCATATTACCAGCTGAGGTGCGCAATGCATTGTGGGGCAGAAGCAGTACGTGAAGCAAGCTCGTTCCACACTCAGAAATCGAAGCCGATTGAGTATACATCCGGGCATTTCTCGCATACACAAAATTCGCATACTGTACAGTGTGAACGCACTGCCTACTCAATTCAGAGGCGGGGTTAGTAGGAGTAGTAGGAGTAGTAGGCCATTTCGGACACAGCCTTAGTCTGTTTAGCAGACAGTACAGCAATGTCTGTCTTTTTTTGGATCTTTCTGAGACCTGGTTCCATTGGCTTCTGCATCTGTCCCATGTTTCCATTGGTTGAACTTACTGCATTATGACTAATGCTTCCTGAGTGTTTCTCCTTCCTGTCGGTGCAGTCCTTACCATTGCTGTCCTCAATGATCACTAGCTCTGCCTTTAGAGAGCCTTCAAACGCCTGGCTGACTGTGTTAGACACCAGAGTGAAGGTAAAAAAAATATTTCTTGAAGGTTTGATCAGTTATGTCTCTGCTCGGATGTGTGGTGGACTGAGATCAAGATGTTTTATATTTTTTGAGGTCATGTTCCCTCCGTTATTTTATGTCAGATCTCCGTTAAACAGTGGTGTGGTGCAATGAGCTACTGTGAAAGCTGTAGCTTGGTGAACACAGGTGTGGCTGTGTGGGTGAGAGGAGACAGGTGTGTTAATGAGGGAGACTGGTGATGAAGTTTATACAGTAAATACCAATGTTTACATCAGATTGCTGCTCTGTGTGTGTGTGTGTGTGTGTGTGTGTGCGCGTGTGTAACGCTGTGAAGGATCCTGGGGCAAAATAGTAGGCTACTTCTGTTGACACTTGCCACGCTGTGCGCGCAGCTCCTTGATGAGGTAGTCTGTAAATTGGTCCATAGTCCAACCGCTTGTGATTCTGCTACATCTCCTTTGTACTAGTAGCGAGTGAGTCCGCACCCCTAAAAAAGTTTTTCCGGTGATCACTTTTTCCAAAATTTAGCTATCAGCAGAGAGAATTTGCATCAGGTGAACTCAGATCAAGTCACCTCAGGTCACGTTACTTTCAGTGACCATGACAACAGCTGTGCACACCTACAAGAATAAGAATATCTTTATTTATTCCTGAGGGTAAATTCAATAAGGGTATCACTTTTCGTAAACCTCTGCACTAAAATATAATGTGTTGGACTCGTAGACTGTACATACAGTCTACCGTTATACCTTTCATTTCCTTTTTGCACTGGCTTTTGCAGAACCTGTATATGTCTGCAGCAAATGGGTCATAGCCTACCTGTTGCATGATGATGACAGGGTTTAGTTTGTGGTTTTAATTTCAGATGAGCCATAAAACACTTTTACCTTACAAAAAAATAAATAAAAAGCAGTTGGTTATGAGCCTACTATAGTCAGTAGTTGAAAATAAACTTTATTTATATTATCTAAATATTGAATTTCCCTTCAGGAATCAAAAAAGTTCTTATCTAATCTGAAAAATGGGGAAAAAAAACTTCACTTGTTGATCACAACCGAACCATTTAGTCTGCCATTGAAACTCTTGTTTTGTAGGTTGTATTTTTTAAATAGAACTATGAACTGTTCGTTAACCTTTCATACTGCATACATTTGTTTTAAATAAAGTCAATTATTATGCACTTTTCTTAGTTGTAGAGAACAATGCAAAACCATTTATTCTGGAAACAACAGAAGCATAGTCAACTTGTTACAGCCTCCTTTGTAGTGAAAACTACAGAAATTACGACACTTAAAAAGTACTTTTCCAAAGCCTCATTATTCTGTATGTAAACAAAGTTATAATTATAATTCTTTTGAGAAAAAATACAGTATGTGATGTTTATCATCTCTTATGCCAACTGATAACTGGTGGGATGTGACACATCATTGGTGGTGAGCCTCTGGATCATCAGACGTTTTAGCATTTTAACACTAGACATCCTCCCCGGAGGTGGCCGGCTACCGGGTGATCCAGAGTTACCTGTTCCTAAGAATTGGCCTGATGTGGATTCTGGGGTAAGATAGGTTGATTGTTTATGATTAACCAAAGCCACATCCACTGGATGTTTCTTTAAACTGCTTGCGAGACTCATCTAATGGTCTGTCACAAAGCTTGTCCATGGATACTTGGTTCTATCAGCAGTGTGATGATGGAAGAGGCCACAAATCCTCTGCACCCCACTTTAACTTCTCTGTTTTACTTGTGCTGAGAATTCTGGATACTGGTGCTTCTTGTGCTCATAAGCTTTTCCTCGAGTTCTCCCATGAGATGCTCAACTCTGTGGTATTAGCCACTTTTAATGTAGGGGAGTACAAGGTCTCATCTAAAGTTGATAGATATCACCTCAGGTGGAAAAATTAATTGCCATTTCTTACTTTCCAGCATCCTCTAGTCCCAGGCCTAGCTTACTTGTGATTCATCAGCAGACAAATGATGTGCCACACATTTGTTCTCCTGCGCTGATATACCACTCACACTAGAGAAGAGTGGGACAAACCACCACAACAGAAGAGAGTCAAAAGTTTTTCACTGCCATATAAATGTCAACTTACCTAGAGGGTTATCCACTGGAAAATTTGACAAATCTCTCTTGCTCTCTCTCTCTCACACACTCACACACACACACACACACACACACACACACACACACACACACACACACACACACACACACACACACACACACACACACACACACACACACACACACACACACACACACAAATCCACTTTAGTTTAAAATATTATTCTTTAATTTAGTAACCCTGAGGCCCTGATTCTAAATGTAAGTTGATCTAATTTTCAATCCAGCATTCTCCACCAACTTTGTAAACTACATAAATTAATTCCATTGAAAATGAATGCAAAAATTTACCTGATTTGAATGACATAGAGCTGCTGTCCCACTTGAATTTTCTTAAAATTGCATATTTACATACTCTACAAAGTCCAGCTAAACAAAATTGAAGTATTAGACTTGAAATAAGAAGTACCAAAACCCAAAATAGGCACATTCATACAATTCGCAACTATCCTGAACGACAATTCCGTGAAATTACAGCCTTGCCTTACAACATCAAAAGATTTATAAATTCCCTTGTGGTAAACGTCTCAGGCCATGAGTACAGACTGCTAAGATTGGGTTTGAAAGTAGAGGAGCTTGCGGAGAAAGTTAAAAGAACCAGGCATTTGCTTGTAGAGTCCTTTTGCAGAATTTTGGGAAACTTCATGGTTTACCTGAAAACAAGAGCAGTCATTACACCAGTGTTTTATTGTATTTTCAAAAAAGAAAGAAGTTGATGGGTCATGTTATTTTTATCAGTGTAAAATGTAAAGCTCACCATCATTAACATTGTGACCAAGTCATCAGTGGCAGCATTTTCATCAAGAATACGGTCTAGTGTTTCAACATACCAGGATCCCGACTGGGTGTCTCTCCAGGAAACATAACCTGTTTTTTTAAACATGGGCAAAGCAAAAGACTTTTGGGTATGGTTTATGTATCCAAAAAAAATGTCCATGTAGATTCTCATTCATCCAGGTCATGGTTATCTTGAAGACTTAAAAACAGGCAACTGGACTGTGTGGACTGTGTCACACAGTCCAGTTGCCTGTTTTTAAGTCTTCAAGATATCCAAAAAAAAGTAAGTCAAATTTTTACACAGATGAATGCATACTTATCACACTCACATGCACACATTCAAGCACGCACGCGCGCACACACACACATACACACACACACACACACACACACACACACACACACACACACACACACACACACACACACACACACACACACACACACACACCAGGGAAAGTAGAGTAGGACACCAGGATGTCACTAGGGGTGGGTAGCGTTGTTCTGGCATCTGGTTCATCTGACATGCTCAGAGAGTCGCTGCTGGATGACATTGGAATGGCATCGGTCTGATCGTCTTCTCCACCAAAGGATGGTTTAACCTCATCTGGAGACATCTCAAAACCTGTGTCTCTCTCATCTAAAGAAAAAAAAGCTTCATTTTCAAACAGCTTCAAACAGCGTTGATATCCTTCCATGAGGTGCGTAGAATTATGGTTTTTTACACTTGTATTTGTTCATTTGAATAAATTGTGGTAATTCTTTGAGGTTTTTTGAAATATACTTTACCTCCACCACAGGCTTGGATGAAGAAAAGTTTGGGTTTGCCTTGTAAAGAGGGACAATGCTGGCCATTCAGGTAGTTTGTTATGTGCTGAACTGGAACAAACTGTCCATCAATACCGTACACAGCACCTGGGAAGCGGTTATGACTCACCTATGAACATAAAAGTTAATTGATGCTTGATCTTAAAAGTCATCTGGTGCAGTATTACACACAGGATTTCTGTGAGAATGATAGATGCTAAAAAACATGTCCCACCTCAGTCCCATGGGATAGCATGATAACCACACAGCAGTCATGCTGTGAATGGTCTTTCTTTGATAAAGCTGACAGTTCATGTTTGATTTGCTGAAATAAACAGAAAACTGCTTAGAAAAATCAAAGTTTTATATCTGTTGTCAGAGAGAGAATATGATCAAATACTCTTACTCTTTGCTTAAGGTTGGTTTTCACTTCCACAATAAAGTTGAGAGCCTTGAATCTTCTCTCCAGTTTGTCACAGTCTATGTTGGACCCTTTGCGGTTGCTCAGTTCACTCTGAGGATCAAATTCCACGTTGTTAATGATAAGGCAATGTCCACATGGGTTGGCATCCATTTTATAGCTCTGGCATAAAAAAAGAAAGACAAAGGCTAAATACATATTTTCAGGGATGGAATAAAGTACTAATTCTTAAGTTCCACCAGGTTCTTCCTTTCCACTAGTAGTGGATTACTTGATAATTAATTGGTGCTAACCTTAATACTATCCCTCCGGGGTCTGCTGGGCAACTTTGGAAACTCTGTTTTAGGTGCTGTGACACAAGCGTAAGTGCATGTTAAGAATAAAAGAAAGAAATATACCAAAAATATATCAGTACTTTCATAACCACCATAGCTTACATGGAGTGGGAGTTGTATTGGGTCTTGGCACTAGACAGACAGGAACATCATTTCTGTGCATATTACCTTCCATTAGAGGGACTATTTGAGAAACAGAAAGTTCACAGACACCAAAGATTACAATTTAGTAGTAATGTTCCCAGATAGGATCATTTGGTGGGATTTAAATGTAAATATAATGACACACTTACTGACTGGGAGAGGCTGAACAACAGGGCCAACAACCTGTGTGGGTGTCGCAGGCTGCAGCCGAACTGGGAGAGCTCCATTCTGCAGTAACTCAGCTAAACTGTTCTGACCTGTCTCCTGAAGGCTCTCAAGAAATAATGGAAAGGCCCGACTTCCGCGGGTCTCCAAGTCCCGGACCAGCTGCCTGGCCTGGTCACGTCTGGTCCCAGAGCTCTTCAACCACAGACAGGAGCAAATGTGTACCGCATATGGTGTACATGACCCAACACACAAAAGAGGATAACTATCTCAAGAAAGGGATATCTTACTTTTATCTCATCGATCATGTCTTGTGTGAAAACTCCTTTTTCGAGAAGGTGGTCACAAAGGTTTGCAGGTTCCAATTCTGTCACGAGGTTGGTCCTGTTGCGTTGAAGGATCTTCTTGTGTCTTTCATCCATTATCTGCAATATACCGACGACGACCACGTAGAGACGTAAAATTATCAAATAAACTGAAACAATTGAGCTTTTGGTTACACAGTCAGACGGTCATAATGGTACAAACGCCGTACACGTGTGTTTAGAATAACAAGTTACCTTATTCCTTTTTAAGTTAAGAAGTTTCAGTCTCTGCTGTCTTCCTGATGTTCAGTTGCATTTGCTATTTCCTTGTTTACATCACCGCCGTCTGTGATTGGTTCATTGTGGGAGTACAGAGAGGCGAAAAAAGGTGCGTTTGATTGCAGTTTCTGGGAACCGTTTCCGTGATGTAAGCTTACCGTAACACTTTCACACGAAAACCTGCGACACCACGAAAAACAAAGCGAACACACGGGGGAAAATACGTTTACGTTTTAAGAACTCAATTTCCCAAAACTACTTTCGGCAGCGGGCCCCTCCCCCTCTACTCCATGGTGATCCCTCCTTGCAGCAGCTGGCTGACAGCTTTCCCTGGCGGAATTGTGGGATGCTGTTGAACACACCCTTCGCTTTTGGCTGTTTGTCCATATTGGCGTTGACCAACAAGTTGAAGAACATCTCAACCTCCTTCAAAGATGTGGCGTAGTGCTGGCTGACCGCGTCTGCTTGAGGTGATTGCGGAGCTGCTGCGTTAAGACAGCTAGCAACTGTAGCAACGCAACTGACCATAATGAAAATTGCGTGAACACTCGTAACATACCTCGAGGAATCAAGTTTTGGTCACAGAGCAAGTCCTGTCATCGAAAGAAAATGTTTCTGTCGTTCAGTTATGTAGCTGACAGTTATGAATTTATTTTTTCCCTGCCTCTATAACGACCTCGTCCTTCTACTTAAATTAACTTAAATGTATTATCACCACAAAGGTAATGCCAGTATGAAAAAGAGCCTTGTTATGTTTCTGTGACATCTAAAGTTTGAGTCATGTTTCAGATCTGACCGTCCTTTGAATCTCCATTTGAACATGGGTTTTCCGATGTGGCACAGATAACTGTGATGGCGAGGTCAAAAACGTCCGTGCCGCTGGCACTGCTGGTGGTCCTCTCAGTGCTGCTGACTGGAGCATCCCAGGCTGGGCCTGAGATGGACCCATACACAATCCTCGGGGTGACCAGGACTGCAAGCCAGGCAGAGATCAAGAAGGTCTATAAGCGACTTGCAAAAGAATGGTAAATATTTTCATTGTCTAAGTTGCTATTTTAGAATTTGAATAGCTCTGCTGATTAAAAACATCTTTTAAAGGCATCCTGACAAAAACAAAAACCCAGGTGCTGAGGACATGTTTATCAAGATTTCCAAATCTTATGAGGTCAGTTATCATCACTAATGCATGAATCAATACATTTTGTGGCTTGTGTGAAACCCAACAACAGTGTCATATATGAAAAGTTAGATTCAACCATCATATCAATATTTATCAAGTTTGCCAAAATGACATATTTTTTTAACCACAAACTTAGATCCTGTCAAATGAAGAAAAAAGGGCCAACTATGATCGATATGGGCAAACTGATGACACCCAACCTTATGGCAGCAGTCGTTACGGCCATCGCCATGACAGCTTTTACTTTGATGAGTCCTTCTTCAATTTTCCCTTTAACAGCAAGAATCACAGGGACTTTGCAGACAGCAGGTACATTTTGCATTTCAACCAGTACGTGAGTGATGTGGTGCCCGACAGCTACAAGAGGCCATACTTGATAAAGATCACTTCTGACTGGTGCTTCAGCTGCATTCACATCGAGCCAGTCTGGAAAGAAGTGGTGCAGGAGATGGAGGCACTAGGTTAGGAACTAACCTCTTTTGTTACCCCCAGTAAACTCTCATCAAAGCTTGAAATATCAGGGCTAGCAAAAAGGGCTGATGTGTGTTTTTATTTATTTATTTATTTATTTATTTTGGGGGGGCCGTATCCTGTCTGTGTAGGTGTTGGAATAGGTGTGGTGGATGTTGGCTATGAGAGACGACTGGCAAATCATCTTGGTGCTCATCGCACCCCATCAATACTTGGAGTCATCAATGGAAAAGTGACTTTTTTCCATTATGCTGTAGCCAAGGAGCACCTGAGGCAATTTGTAGAAGACCTCCTTCCTCAGAGACTTGTAGATCGGGTGAATATCTCCCTGCCCTAAACATGTTTTTATTGTACAAAGGAAAGGACATACAGATAATGTGTTGGCAGCATTTATTCAGAACACTGTCTTATATTTCAGGTCACTGACAAGAATGATCTACAGTTCTTGAATAGCTGGCATGAGCTCAACAAGCCACATGTGCTCTTGTTTGACCAAGTTCCTGTAGTTCCGTTGCTTTACAAAGTAAGCTCTCGCCTCATGGGGTCTTTCATGTAATATATGATCCTCATATGCAACTGATATGTATTTGGGCAGCAGCACAAAGTGAAAGCTCTTTATCTCTGCCTTTCCATAGCTGACAGCTTTTGCATATAAGGACTACTTGCAGTTTGGCTATGTGGATCAGGGCCTTACAGAGACTGCTAATCTGCAGAAACAGTTCAATATCAATACTTATGCTCCAACAATGCTGGTCTTCAAAGAGAATGTTGACAAGCCTGCTGACATTATACAGGTAAAGCACAGAAACAGGATGCTCCAAACTATCTCCACTTCTTTCTTTAACTGATATCTATCAATGATTGACTTTTATTTACACTCCCCGCAATATCACATTACTTGTTCTTCTCTATGGTTTTGCCATATGTCCACAGGCAAAAGGAATGAAAAAGCAAATAATTGATGAGTTCATATCAAACAACAAATTTCTTCTCGCACCACGGCTGGTCAATCAGAAACTCTTTGATGAGCTTTGTCCTGTCAAACAGTTCCACAGGCGCAGGAAGTAAGTCTTTTCTTTTTTATATCTGTTGTATCTGATGTCAATACGTGTGAAGCCAAACAGAATTGTTTATAATTAATCAACAGAATTGATCTCTTTAAAGATATACAGAGTCAGGATTGGCATCTGTGGTGTTGTAACGTTTTTGTCGTCCTCTTAGATACTGTGTCCTGCTGATCACAGGGGATGAAGAGACATTTTCTTCAGGGAACCAGGCTTTTCTGTCATTTGCCTCTACCAACACAAAGGAAATTATCAGGTTTGCTTATGTGTACCAACGACTACAACAACCTCTCTGTGAAATCCTTATACAGAACAAGGACAGTGCACAGTCACATTCACAGGTAACCTCCCACTGTGAAATACATATACTGATTATATTAGAATTCAAAAAAGAGATTTATTATGTGTATTAGCATTGCTCAACTATCCAGAATGTATGTATACCTGCCTTGTCAGCCTCTAGGAAAAATGTACCAGTGCCCAGAATTGAGATAGACTTTGGGTTTATGTCGCATTTATGCAGAGAAGTATGGGAAAACAGTTGGACTCTACACTTGGATCAGATTCTGGATGTGTTGTTGTTTAAGTATGTGTATATATATACCTTTTTTTTTTTTTTTTTAAACTCAGGTGGTGATCCTGGAAAGGCGTAATGCTGCAGGAAAGGCTTTATTCAAGCCAGTAACTGCCTGGAATGGTAGCAAGGAAGACAAGCAACATCTTTCAGAGGAGCTGGAGCGACTTCAGAAGGACCCATCTATTCTCATCCATGATGCCATGCTGCCTGAACTCAACAACGAGTTTGCCTCTGTATGTCCTGTTACAGTAAAAACCCTTTGAAGATGATCAACTTCTAATATTACTGACCTGCTATTACAACAGATCATTTTGTTTTACAGATGTTTGTAATCAGATGGATCCATGCGTCCTATGATTACCTCTCTGAAGTCATAGATGATATTCTTCATAACAACTGGTAGGTTTACAATAAAATTTGATTTGAGATTGTTTGACCAGTTCAGCTTTCAAAGATGGCAGTGCCAAATAGCAGTTTTTGACTTAGACATTTAAAATCATTGAAGTTTCTTGTCACGAGTTGTCTTTAATGACTTGCAGGCGTGAGATGATGCCTCTTCTGTCCCTAATCTTCTCCGCCTTGTTCATCTTGTTCGGGACTGTGGTCATCCAGGCCTTCAGGTTGGATGCTTTACAAACATGTGTTTTATAAGTCCATTAAAAAGACATGTATTGCAAGTTTCAAGAAGGCCAGATTAAAGTAGTAGAAATAATTGGATAAGTTTAACTATCTTTCATTTTATTCCTTTTTGGGAAAAATGATTTTTCAGTGACTCAAGTGAAGACAAGCAGACCAAACCAAAAGCAAAAGATGGATCAAAAGCAGAAAATGGATCATCAGGGGCCAGCAGTGCTTCAAGGCAAGAATACATTTAAAATGTTCATGTTTGATCAGATTAATGATTTATAATTCAGGCACTAAGCTCTTGATTTTCCTTTGGTTTCAGTCGACCTCCGAAGAAGAATTTTGTGGAGGTGACAGAGCTGACAGATATCACTTATATGAGCAACTTGGTGAAGTTGAGGCCAGGACACATGAACATAGTGCTGGTACTCACTGATGCCTCTAAGAACATCCTACTTAGCAAGTTTGCCAAAGAGGTCTACTCCTTCACAGGGTAAGCTAAACATGTAGCCTACTTTTCATTTTGTGGAACAAATAAGATTCACATTTGAACTTAGTTTCTGTGTATTTAACGTACCTGTTTATGTATACTTCATCATTTTCATTCTCTCAACTCTCAACCCTAGGAGCCTGACTCTGCATTTTTCCTTTCTGAATATTGACAAACACAGTGAGTGGATGGACACACTGCTGGAATATGCCCAGGACCCTATACAGATTGATGCAGATGAAGATGATGGGGGAAACCACAAGAAAGACTACACTGGCTTTGTGCTGGCACTTAATGGCCACAAGAAGTACCTGTGTCTATTTAAGCCGGTCTATACAGGGGAGGACCTTGACAATAAGTCATCCGAGGATGAAGGAGGGACTTCTGGGGGAAAGTTGAGATTAAGTTCCAGGGATGACCACCCACAGCGCAAATCCAACAGATCACGCAGCATATCCACCCTGCAGATCCACCACAAGCTGGACCGCCTGGGACTGTGGATGGAAAGGCTCATGGAGGGTACATTGCCACGCTACTACATCCCTGCCTGGCCAGGACTGGAGAAGATAACCCCTATTAAATAGAATGAAGAGAGGTCTGTGGCTCCCCTCTTATGTTGCTGAAACTATAGACAACTGCCTATTTTGCACTGACATTATTAAAGTCACAGATATCACAGATATCTTGAAAGTAAATTTGGCTGAGCAAGTACTGTGGGACAGATCCTTGAGTGTATCCTCTTAGACTTGCATGCTGTTTTCAAATGTCATATTTATTCAAGCAAATGCTGCTGCTACATAAGAAAACAAACGCACTGTGGCTACCTGTACTCTCCTGTAGTCATGTTCTTTGGTGATGTTCTCATGCGCCAAAGGAAGCAAGATATCTAGGTTTTTGCATTTGAAATAACACAAGATACTTGTGCCCTACTGAATACTGTGAACAGAGATGCATGTCTCAAACATTAATAATCATTGCCTTTTCGTGTTTTCTACATCATGTGTTTGCACAAGAAAAATATGCTGTTTGTTTGATGTAAACAGTTTGTGTTGGGGATTTAAAATGATCTGAACTCATTGTTTCGCAACTTTTGTTCATTAGACAGCCTCAGTTTGCCAGTAGCTTTATGTAGCAAATATACAACTCTGTTTCTAAAGAGGTTAGGATCCTGAGAAAACTGTAGATAAAAGCTAAACATGATGATTTTCTAAAGGTTAAACCATGCATGTAGCTGGAAATAGCACAGAGACATCATATGTTTATATTAAAAATGTATGGTTTTGGACAATTATTCCCTAATTTTCAATTTGATACCAGCAAAATGTTTTTAAGAAGATGGACTAGAATAATGGATGTGTGTACAATGATTGATAAGGTTTCTGTGGATATGTGACATTTAGCATTTACTGCAGTTTATGAAAGCCCCAGATTTAATCATAGAATTTTTATTAGTCTGAACATTTAAAAATGATGGTTGAGCTCTTTCCACCTAAATTTGGGGTTTCATTGTTTTAAGATACTTCTTTATTAGTCCCACAAGGAAATTCCCATGTTGTTTTGCCAATCATCCCACTCTTGAAGGAGAACCATCAATAATCCCACTTTGGCAGTGGTTACATTTTACGCAGGGTCCTAAATTCTTCATAAATGGGGTTGCCATAAACATGCTCAATATCTAATTATCTGAATATTTTCCAAACAGCCACAACTTACTGCTATTTAATTAGAACACAGTATAGTTAGTTTTTGTAGATATAAAAGTGAAGACAAATTTCTTGTGTGCTTGCTTTGTGTAGTCAGCATTAAGTGTAATAATATCATTTAGTTGGTTGTGGATGATGTAAAAATTGTACATATGGGAGAAGGTGAATGTTTTACATGGGTTGATAAAAAGGTGTAACCATTTCTTAAGCTTTGATGCCGATTTTATTTTACAAGTAATTTTGAAAAGAATGTCTGTTTTGGTTTGTTCTTAATAGTGTATTTATCCTCTTGTTGGTTGTAATAATAGGCTTTATGTTTGTTTATTAAAGTGGAAACTGCCAGTTCTTTGGTTTTTATTTTTAAAGCGACACCAGTATAAGTTTTTAAACAGACTTGATTATTATTTTATGAAAGAAAAACAAAGAAAATTACTTATTTTTAAGTCAGCTTGAACTGATTTTGGAGCTTTGTAAGTCGAAAGCCTTTCTGACAGCAGACATCTGGACTCAAAGGGAAAGCAGAGGGGTTACTGATAAAACTGACAGAGGCTCTTGTATAATCAAGAGTTGCAGTGAAGTATGAATGTGTGACAGTCAGACACAAATGGTATTAGTGACATGGCACACAGATCCCTGTCCAGTGACTAGATCATTTTAAGACAGAACTGCTGTCAGCCCACTGCTTTACATCCTTAGACCCTTCCAGCTTAAATGTGAAGGTACAAAAGCTTTTACCACTAGGCTAAGGCACTAAGGGTTCGAAAATCAGTGTCATCTTTTAAAGCGCTTCTTAAAACTCACTTTTCCAGACTTGCTTTTTTTGTGTCCTCTGACTCCTTTTTCTTGTCCTTATCTTTTATTCATCCTATCCTATATCTTCTAATCCCTTTACTTTTTCAACTTTCTTCTTTTTCTTTTTACCTCCTTTATAATTAATTGTAATTGCTTCATTTATTTATTGCTTATCTGCTTATGCTTTGTCCAGTTGGGTTCCTGTATTGTCCAGGTTCTTATGGGATCTTTTTTGTGCGTGTTGGGTTCTCATGATGCTTGAGTAAAATTGCTGATTGGGCTCTTTTTCTTCTTTGTTCTTCTGTGTGTTTTGTTTGTCTGTCAAAGTATTTTGTGAATCCTTGTTTTAGGGCGCATTCACATCCCCCTCGTTTAGTCCAGTTGAACCGAACCCTGAGGCGATTACCCCCTTGGTGCGGTTTGTTTGGGTCGGTGTGAACGCTGACATCGAACTCTGGTGCAGACCAAAAAAAAGGGAACTCTAGTCTGCCTGAAGAGGTGGTCTCGGACCACTATCAAGTGAACTCTGGAGTGGTTCATTTCTGGTGTGAACATCATCCACATCAATCACAGGAAACGCACCACACACAATACATCTAGGCTATTTGTGATGCTGGTTGTGAAATAAATGTTGTCCGCTCACCTCACTTGTCCCGATTGACACCAGAGAGAAAACGCATCGTGGTAGGCTCTGATCAATGCCAGCGAAGACAGCAGAGCAGGGTTTGTATTCCTACATAAACTAATGACCAATAACCGAACGATATTGGCGGTCACATGACTTCCGGTTTCGTTTACTGTCGCGATTGAGTTTGTCCTTTGTGAACACAAACCGGACCAGTTAAATCAAAACAAATGTATCGTCTTGCCTTGGATTCGAATCAGGAAACGGACCTTTAGGTGTGAACACAACCTTAGAGGTGTTGTAAAGTTACATGAACATTATATAAAAAAGTTATTGTTGGTTGAATTTAGGACTTGGGGGTTTGAGGACTTTAAAGGTGGTGACATCTCCAAGGTTCAGTCCCTGTGTACAAAACCCAATTCCGATGAAGTTGGGAGATGTGTAAATCGAAAATAAAAACGGAATACAATGATTTGCAAATCCTTTTCAACCCATATTCAATTGAATATACTACAAAGACAAGATATTTAATGTACAAACTGATAAACTTTGTTTTTTTTTTTGCAAATAATCATTAACTTCAGAATTTGATGGCAGCAACACTTGAAAAAGAAGTTGGGAAAGGTGGTGAAAAATACTTAGAAATTTGAGGAATGCTCATCGAACACCTATTTGGAACTTCCCACAGGTGATCAGGCTAATTGGGAACAGGTGGGTGCTATAATTGGGTATAAAAGCAGCTTCCCCAAAAACTCTCAGTCATTCACAAGCAAGGATGGGGCGAGGTTCACCAGTTTGTTAACAACTGCGTGAGCAAATAGTCGAACAGTTTAAGAACAACATTTCTCAAAGGACAATTGCAAGGAATTTAGGGATTTTAACATCTATGGTCCATAATATCATCAAAAGGTTCAAAGAATCTGGAGAAATCACTGCACAATAGTGGCACGGCTGGAAACTAACAATGAATGCCTGTGACCTTTGACCCCTCAGGTGAAACTGTATCAAAAACCGACATCAATGTGTAAAGGATAACACCACATGGGCTCAAGAACACTTCAGAAAACCACTGTCAGTAAATACAGTTTGTCGCTACACCTGTAAGTACAAGTTGAAACTCATGCAAAGCGAAAGCCATTTATCAACAACATCCAGAAACGCCGCCGGCTTCTCTGAGCCCAAGCGCATCTAAGATGGACTGATGCAAAGTTGAAAAGTGTCCTGTTGTCTGACGAGTCCACATTTCAAATTGTTTTTGGAAATAGTGGACATTGTGTCCTCTGGGCCAAAGAGGAAAAGAACCATCCGGACTGTTGTTGACGCAAAGTTCTGTGATGTTGTCGGGCTGCATTAGTGCCCAAGGCATGGGTAACTTACACATCTGTGAAGGCAACATCAATGCTGAAAGGTACATACAGGTTTTGGAGCAACATATGCTGCCATCCAAGCAACATCTTTTTCATGGACGCCCCTGCTTATTTCAGCAAGACAACGCCAAGCCACATTCTGCAGGTGTTACAACAGCATGGCTTTGTAGTAAAAGAGTGCGGGTACTCAACTGGCCTGCCTGCAGTCAAGACCTGTCTCCCATTGAAATGTGTGGCGCATTATGAAGCATAAAATACGACAATAGAGACCCCAGACTGTTGAACAACGCACTGAAAGCTTGTCGATTCAAACCTGGTCAGCTTTCAGCGCAGGCGGAGCGCAGCTGGTCTAGTGGTATTTTGGTAGACCAGCGGCGTAGTGCGCATACGTCACCGATGCCTTACCAGCAGGTTTCCACAGTGTCGGGCACATTTCAGTGCAATAAATAATAAACAAAAGCCAATATTCTGGGTCAGCACATACATTTAGATCTATAGATATATTCTGATCTATATCTGATCTGATTAGAGCGTTTGGCATGCGTTTGGACACACAACCTGACTGAATCAACACAGTTGAAACCGCATTAAATTAAATATACAGCAAACAGTCATACTTGATGAAGTTAACAAGATATTCAATTTGTCCCCCTTTCTCTCTCCCTCCTTTTTCTCACGCAGCTTGACTCGGACATGTCTCTGTGTCCTCTCCCCATCCTGATGCTGCAGCAGCAAGGCTGAACAGATGATTTATTTTAGTGATCAGATGAATTATTTACTTAAAAATTTGAACAAAAAAGTAAAAGAAACTTTTATTCAAAATAACCTGTTTATCTAATGTCCTCACATCCTAAAATTCTGTGAATATTCAGTCCGGAGTTAGGCTTACATACGAATATTATAATATACAGTTGTGTGAGCTAAAATCATCTTATATGCCGACATCAATGAAAGAGAGAGCCAGGCGACGGAGCGCGATGCGTCTTTTACGCACAGATGGCACCGATTTAAATGCCATTATTGGAATTTATGTTGTGATCTGTGCACACAACCCACTTTTGTCACATGGGCTTTAAATATATGCAACTTAATGTGATTGTCTTTATTTGTGAAAACTGGTATTTGTCTCACCAGTGGGTACAACCTTACACACACCAAATCCCTCTGTACTTATTTGAGAAAGTGTGCAGGACGCCCTCTGCAGTGCTTACAGTGACACTTGTTGAGGAGCTGCCTTCTGTCGCCATCGTGCGGCATTGCTGTCTTCAGACATCTCTTGATCTCTTCGACTACTTCACGAAAATTGTAATGCGCCTTGCTGGTGGCGGATTTAAAGGTGAGGAGAGGAGCTGATATGATTGGCAAAAATAGGTCTCGGCTGTGTTAAACTCACTCCATGCCTTCTCTCCTCCCTCTCTATGACTTACGCCACTGGGAGGAGCTGAATTAGGGAGGGGGGATACTTATGACGGGCTGCGCCGCTCACCAAAATACCAAAGTGTGCTTGGGCACGCCTTGTCAGCGTACCCAAGCACACTTAAGCACAAGCACACTTACGCTGCGCCTGCGCCACGCCGCTGGCTAGGAACGAAAATAGAGACCTCAGCCTCCTCAGTTCCCAAACGTTTATTGAGTGTTGTTAAAAGGAGAGGTGATGTAACACAGTGGTAAACATGTCCCTGTCCCAATGACTTAGGCATGTGTTGCAGCCATGAAATTCTGAGTTAGTTATTTGCAAAAAAAAAAAAGTTTATGAGTTTGAACATTAAATATCTTGTCTTTGTAGTGTATTCAATTGAATGTAGGTTGACAAGGATTTGCCAATCGTAGTTTGTTTTTATCTACGTTTATCACAATTTCCCAACTTAAATGGAATCTGGTTTTGTATGTCTTAAATGGTTTTCTTTATTAGGCTGTCAGTGTCTTTCCACACCCACTCACACTTCCACACAGATCAAGCTTCCTATGATCTTACAAATCACCCCATTGAGTCTGAACGCCAAAGACTTTCTGTCAAGCAGCATTCTAATAATTGTCTAATAATAGACAAATAAAATTTCTAAATCTTTAAATGTCTCTCCTGATTGAACTGATTTTTACACGTGTTTTCAAGTACTTTTGTATTAAAATGTTGAGCTTGACTTACTCCTTGACACTGGAAGCAGAGTGAGACATAAAATCAGCAAAAGCATGTGAATTTCTTCAAATGTATCATTAACAGTGGTTTGAATTAAGATGGTAAAAAAGAAATGATAAGACACATTTGTAGACATTTAATATCAATTTATTGATTTGACAGCCATCCAACCAAACTGCTCAAAGATCTGTCAGCTGTGATGCCATGAAGGAATGACATCCTGATGGAGGTAGCATCATTGGTGGGACTGCATCACCCCCTTGACTGAAGAGATAAATGATGGAGGTCTTCAAAGTTTCATGCCACACATGAAGCCCAGCTTGGCGTTGCAACCTACGTCATTGGCAGCACCTTGGATTTAAAAAAAACCCAATTAATTAAGGTTAAAACGTTTAAAATGCATTTCCTGCAGAGTATTTTCTGGAGATTTATGTGAATACGTTTTAGAGAATAGTGCAATACACTCTAAAATGTCAGCAATGTGTTCTATTCTCAATCTTATGTACAAATTACTAAAACGTGGTTGATAAAGACAAGTAAGGTCACAGTGGCTAGTTAAAAATAAAAGAAAACCTCTCCTTCCTTGAATCTCTTCGACTGATATGTCCCAAAAAAGTATAAATAGTAACCAAATAATCCGTGTTTACCTCTGTAGTTGATCTCCAAACAGTGTTCCCGGCCTAAGTAATTGCTGGGCTCATGGGGTCCCCAGAACCTGAAGTTAAACTTTTCAAACTTAGAACCATCACTCCACAGCCACACACCCTCCTGAGAGAAAAACAAAGCAAAAAGAAAAATAGTTCATCACTCTGAAGATCAGTGAGGTGAAACAAATGTACTCTTCAGATAGAAACCAAAATATGGAAATCCTGCAACAGGTAATAATGAAATTAACACCAGATATGATTTCTCACTGTCACTGACCTTTGCTGCATCATACCCTCCAACCCAAGTTCGTGCATCACTACCAGTGTTTGTTTTAATGACAAATCTTATGAAGTCATACTGTGCTTTGGAATGGACTGAAGCTAGATTTCCACCAAGATTCACACAGGCAACCTGAGCAGAGAGAAGCAAAAAGGAGAGAGGGGGAGGTTAAAAAAATTGTATATTGCATGTTTTTAAAGAGGTGAAAAGATTGTTAATAAAGGGGGTGAAAATGACAAAGTGAAAAGTACACACAAACTGAAATTTAGTTTGATGTTTCAAAAGATACCTCAGCATCAGCCCAGTCCTTTGCACTAAAGTGGTACATGTAACAGTGATCTCCAAAATTAGTCCATCCGGAAGGGCATCTCTTGCAGCCATCTGCATGAGTATTATGACACAGCAGGAGACAACATTATCATTGTCAGCTATGTTGAGGATGACCAGTGTCAAAGCTAATCTGATTATTCAGCATTTTCTGTCAGCTGACACTGCACTGTATCATCAACGTTTACAATCTTCTACTTCCTTAAACCATATTTTTTTATCCTAAATTGAATGATAATTGTGCTAAGTGCATTAACATCCTTAAAGAGGCATTACTAAAAAAACATAAAAACATAGAACTATATCATTAAAGTCAGGAGCTCATGCATTTTGCTGTTGAAAAAGTCAAAGCTGCTCTTTTGACCAACCCAGCAAACACAATAAATCTGTTTTCAAAAGAGCAAATAGGAAAACTCTTGAACCTTATGTCACAGATTTGCAATTGAAATAGTAGTCATTTAAGCACACAGAGCTCTACTAACCTGCAGCGTGTGCTGCCTGCAAACATAAAGAAAGCATTATTAGCACAGAATTTATCCTAAAAGGCTACCTTTTCACTCAAGTTTATTATATATTGTTGAAATGGTGCTGTGTGGTTGTTGCAAATCACTTTAATGGATGATTAACAGTATGATGTTATGATATGATGTTCGAACCAGGGAAATGTAATGGACCTTTTGTTTAAGGTTTAGATGTAAGGAAACAAGGATATTAAAAACTATTTAACAGTGAGCTGAACTTACGTGTGCACCAATCAGTCCACTGATCAAGCAGAGAAATGCAACGAAACAAAGACCTGATGCCATCTGTGTTGTGATATATTTAAAGTCAGCGCAATTGAAGAAATCACAAGTCATGAATATGAAGTTTAGTTTAAAACAGGATCCATCAGCTCAAAAAAGTTTGCATGAGGACACTTAGAGAAGAGTTTCATTTAGACAGCTACTTTTAAAGTAAAGCTAAGGTTAAAACTTTACCTTGTAGAGATGCTCAAGTGAGGTTCTCTGGAAGCAATAGCAGGTAAATTCTCTGAACGACTTGGAAAAGAAGTCTTTATATATCTTTCGGCTAAGACTTTAACCTTGCGACCTGCAGTGTGTGCTTTTCTGATCATGTTTAACTATTCTAAACTATTCTAAAGTATCTATTTGTACAGAGCAAAATTCTGTTTGAACCGGTCATGAAAGTACACATGCAAAAGTTTTGTGGCTTTATTCAAATAATTATTTTTCATACTTAAACTTTGTTCCTTGACCTTGAGGGTATGTATGTTTTGTTTCTTTACATTTTCTACACTGTATACTTAGACACCAAAATGGCATAGCAATGTTTAACACTACACCCATCATTTGACTTTTTAAAAAACAGTTATAAAGATTATTTTTTACACAGTAGAAAAAAAGAGCAAGGATGCAAAAAAGGAAATATAATTATGTTTTTTTTAATTTTGGAGAATAACTTAAGGAATTTTATTTCAAACCCTCTGGAAATCAAAGAGGCTTGGTTGTGGGAATCCTCCTCTGTTCAAAGTACAGCACAAATAGATATTAGACATAAATAAGTTGAGTAAAGGGTGTGATTGGTTGGTTCATAGTCAGAGAGAGCAATATTGTGACAACCATATGGAAGCACGCAAGCAAAGTTGATTCAATCATCGTCTGTCAAAAACAGCAGTCTGTCACCGGCAAATGAAATCAGAAGAAAAAAAAAGGAGATAAAATAAGATAAAGATCAAATGTGCTGTTATTGGACAATAGTTTAAAAGACGAAATATACACAAGGTGTGTGTGTACAGTACAGGCCAAAAGTTTGGACATACCTTCTCATTCAATGCATTTTCTTTGTTTTCATTACTATTTAAATTGTAGATTCTCAAAACTATGAATGAACACATGCGGAATCATGTGCTTAAGAAAAAAGTGTGAAATAACTGAAAACATGTTTTATATTTTAGATTTCTCAAAGTAGCCACCCTTTGCTTTTTTGATAGCGCTGCAAACTTTAGCTGTTCTCTCATTGAGCTTCATGAGGTAGTCACCTGAAATGGTTTTTACTTCACAGGAGTGCCTGAAGTAACCCTGACAAGGTACTTCTGTCATCAAGAGCAAAGGGTGGCTATTTTAAAGAAACTAGAATATAAAACATGTTTTCGGTTATTTCACACTTTTTTTATAAGTACAAATTTCTACATGTGTTCATTCATATTTTTAATGCCTTCAGTAATAATCTACAATGTAAATAGTCATATAAAAAAATAAAGAAAAGACATTGAATGAGAAGGTGTGTCCAAACTTTTGGCCTGTACTGTATATATATATATATATATATATATACACACACACACACACACACACACACACACACACACACACACACACACACACACACACACACACACACACACACACACTGTCCTTTTTTGTTAGGGTTCGGCTCTGTTTAACCTCTTGTTTATACTGCTTCAGTGATTTATTTGAGAAATAGCCTCCTGCCTTTTTTTGTTTGTTGGTTTAGTCAAATTATTTGTCTTTGAACCAACCGGGTTGTATATTTATTTTTTCTGGTTGCAAAATGTTTTTGTGTAATTTTCTTTCTTTGACTGCTGAGAGTCACTTAGCTAAGAGCCCATGCTGTGCCCATCATATATGTATATGTGATGTATGCAGTACCAATGGTAAGTACGCAGTATTATACTACAGAGGTGGACTTACACAGTGAGCCAGGAAGTCTCTTCAGTGGATTAAGGGGAAACCTCAGGAGGGATGTCATGGTTAAACTCCAGGGGTGCCTTCCATACAAATCCAGGAGATTACACAGGTTATGTATCCCTCATTCACAAGCTGGACAGTCTGTAGTTATGGAGGGCTTTTGCAGGGTTATGCCACACAGCTACATCCCTGCCTGGTCTTGACTACAAAAGTCAGCCACAAGTAAGAGTAAGGCTGGTTTTAAAGGTTTCATGTTTCATGACATAAGAGTGTCCCCTGTGTTATGATTAAGCCAAACTGTAGCTACCTATTTCACACCCAAGATGTAAATAGTGACACACTTCTGAAAATATAATGAATATGACTTTGAGCAACTACTGCAGGACACATCCTACAGGGTATTCTCAGTCTTGCGTGCTGCTCAATTGTTATATTTATTTAAGTAAATGTTGCTGCTACAGCTTCGTAGAAAACAAACAAAATACTGTAGCAACCTGTTGTTATTTGTCACACACACACACACACACACACACACACACACACACACACACACACACACACACACACACACACACACACACACACACACACACATACACACACACACACACACATACTTTTAAGCATTTATTGGAGAGGATAGGACTGTAAATGGAGCAGAAAGTGGGGATAGAGAGAGAGAGAGAGAACAGGGAGCAGCATGTGGGAAAGGGGCCTCAGGCTGGAACTGGACCCATATATATATATATATATATATATATATATATATATATATACAGTTGAAACCAGAAGTTTACTTCTGACCAATCGTAATCAGCGCACATATGATGGGGTCTTGATAAATGCGGCGGCTGTAATCGATCTTCATAAACATGTTTAC